AAAAAGATTAACATTTGTAATTTGTTGTAGGGATAAGTGAAGTTTCTTTTGATACTCAGTAAATAATGCTTAATTAAACTGTTCATTCTATTTTAAGTCATTATTTAGACTGACATTGGTTGTTATGGAGAAGCAAGTAATGTGAGCTTTTTAAAATTAAATATAACATTATAACAATGTGTGTTGCCTCTTGGTGCATATAATTATATATTTCCTTTGATTTGCTAAGATTGTTTTTTCATTGTGTCTTATTTCCTGTGCATAACATAAGCTTGAGATGATAGTCTAAAATTGCCAATATAGCAGACACACTGAAAGATACAAGTAGGATTCCCAAGAGATGTAGAAGCTATGTTCATTTAATCTTCTGTCCTGTTTCCATCTCTAACTGGTTCCAGGCTTTATTGGAATTGAACTTCCTGTCATTGAGACATTGAAAAATGATTTTGTTCTAAGTCTTATATTGATTATCTACTTTAAATAGCTCAAATACTGCAGGTGAGGTTAAATGAACATGGTGGATACAACATTAAAAAGACTGAATGAGAAAGTTTATAGTTTCTGGAAAAAGATGATTAAATAACTTGCTGTGATTTGCTGCAGAATTAAAGTGATTAAGTTAGAATTAAGATTAAGTTCTGTGGTAGTATTCTTTTTCTATTTTCTAAGAGGCATACCATTCTGTAGTCGGGTTTCAGCCTTGCATTTCAGACATTAAGAAACTCCATGAAATTCAATCAGAGAAAATATAATAGAGGCATTGGCAATCAGTTCTTTGTGTATAGCTTAGAATTAATTCCAGTGCGTACTCCTGTGGAAGAAATCTTGCTTTCTAAATGTAACATAATGTTTGTCCCTATTCCATACCCAACTTTTAAATAATTTAGTTTAATTTAACCATTTTCTGAGCTACTGTGTGCAAAAACAGCTGAGGTCCTATCATTACCTAGATTTCTTTTGATCAAACCCTGATTAAGATATTAACTGAGTCTTTTTCAATTTATTGTGCTGTGTAACATGAGGGTGGCTCTGCTAATGACTTATTATATATATTTTAGCAGTGGGAAATCACGATGTACAAATTTTATTCTAGGTTGCATCAATGAGGTCATTAAGTTATTTCAAGTGTTACAGACCAACTTTATTAGTTTCTTGGGACAATGCAAATGCTCAAGCTTGAGTCAATCAATACACCAAATTAATGAAACCATACTTTGCATACTTTGATTTTTTTAAAAAATTATCTAGCCATAATGAATCAACAATTGTCTAATTAAAAATGAAAAAAATGCAATTGAAATGATTAAATTACAAGAAAACACATTTTCATTTCCTCAGTGTAGTTCAGTAAAATGATTATTTTTTTCTGTGTTTCAAAATGTGTATTTTAAAATTTCTTCCAGAGTTGTATACTGCTAAGAAAAAAAGTTTGTGAACCCCGAGTTACAGATGGTGGACATACAGTATATACTTTTTAGAAATAAAAGTATCTTTAAAGCTCCTTCTTATGTAAATAAAATGATAAACACCTAACATCATACCACCTGCATGCATGGCGAGAATGATATTGAAAAACTGTTGAAAACTATACATATTCATGAGAGAAACAATTTACCAAAAGATCAAAAAGAAGCCCTGTATAATTTGAAGGGTGGTTTGTCTATTGTTGTAAAACCACCTGATAAAAGTGGCTGTAATGTTATTCATGATAGAATTTTAGGGAATGTACAAGGAAATTAGGAGATTGAGCCTTTTATTAAAAAAATGTGATAAACATTCTTAGAAGCATTGACCATTACCTTAAATCTTTTCTTGATTTTAAGGTAGTGGAGAAAGAAGTAGAAAAGAATTTGATTTTCTGATGATCAAGTATACTAAAATACCACTTTTCTATACTGCTCCTAAAATTCAAAAATCATAAGTGGAATTTATTCTCACTCTTCTACTTTGTCTGCAAAATTATTGATCAATTTGGTTTTGTTTCAGAGGAAATTATTTTGGTAACTTTTGATGTAGAAAGTCGGTGTACAAATATACAGTACAGTAGTACAAATATACAGTATACTGTAGTAGTTCAGGTGGGTAACTGCATCAACATGTGTAGGCTGCAAAGGAACAAGTAATAGGTTTGTTCCATGCTGAAAAAAAGAAGAAAGAAAACACAACATTTCGGCCGTGGAGCCTTCTTCAGGTGTCAGTATACATCATATACTGTAGGAGGGTTTAAAGGTTCTTGAACACTTCCTGTTCACTTGAGATCAAAATGTATTACCTTTACTTCTTCTATTCAAACCTTAGTGTATTTTATTCTTCCACACAATTGTTTTATGTTTGAAAACGTTCATTTTCTTTAATTTAAAGATATTGGTTATTGGTTCATCCATGGCACCAAATTATGTATATTTGTATGTGAGTTACTGGGAAGAAA